ACGGCACTTCACAACAACTACAGACTCTGATAGAATAGATTTCTGTTTGTTAAAGCCATCCACTTGTGATATTTGTTACAGCAGCACCAGCGAACTAAGACAGCATCCTCTTGAAATGATTTAATTCAGTCTTAGTTTCATATCTATTGTGCAGAAAAACTAGCAAATCATAAGAAACTCAAAGTGGTCACTAATTTTCCAAATTATCTTTAATAATATCATGCCATCCTGACAAACATGCACACCTTATAGACCCAAAGTGCTTATTCATACAGTGAATATGAGTGCTGAGGTAGGCTTCGCTTAGCCCTTGGAACTGGGCAACATTTCCCATTTTTCTGAAAGGTAGTAAGAATGCACTTGCAAGAACATAAACAAGTTGTAGATGGTAAATGCATCCAAAGATTTCACCAAAAAGTAGAAATAGAGCCCATAGACTGGGAATCTTTTTTTTTTTTTTTTTTTTGCAATGACATATCAGACAAGGGACTAGACTCTAAAGTTTATAGAAAACTACAACACCTCTATAAGAAAAAGACAAACAGCCCAATTTAAAATGGGCAGAGAACATTAACAGATAAGTCACCCAAGAATACATTCAGGTGGCCAATAAACATATGAAGAAATGTTTGCCAACATTAGCCATTACTGTGGCTGCTGTTAAGTGCTGTCAAGTCAGTAGGTCAAACCCACCAGCTGTTCCTCAGAAAGCCTATACTTTGTGGTTGGAAGTCCAGTGCTGAGTCCACAGCACCACACCCAGAGAAATGCACATCAAAACAACAATTAGATATCATCACACCACGTTACTAATAGAAAAGTTCAAAAGAACAGACTCCAGTCAACCCATAAGTACCCAAAAACGTAAAAGAAGGAATTCCATTTTTTTCTTCTTCTTTTTCCTTTTCTATCTTTCTTTCCTTTTTCAACTGCCTTCTCATATGAATTTACCTACCTGTTGTAGGATAACCACTAGGCATAGAACATGCATATAACATGAATCCTGGTGTGGTGTTGTGGGCTAATGCGTCAGACTACAAAGTTGTTTGAACTACAAGGTCAGTGGTTCAAGCTTACCAGCTGCTCCTTGGAAACCCTCCTTGCTATAGGTCAAAATCGACTTGACGGCACTAACAACAGCAATAACATGGGCTGGCTATTTTCTTTTATCTCGCTTTCAATTTGTTCCTCCAGTTTGGTTTTATCTGCTGCCACATCCCCCACAGCAATCTACTCAACCTGAAGACAAGGCCCATTAGCTTGGCAAGGTGAACAAGAAAGATTAACTTTTCTTAGGCCAAGGGTGGGGAGCCTTTTTTTCTGCCAAAATTTATAACATCATTTGCGGACCATACAAAATTATCTACTTAAAAATTAGCTTGCTATATTTGGTCTAACAAGTAATTAACCCACCCTTAGTGAGATAGCTAAGCATTTCTCAAGCTGGATGTTCAACCACTTCAAGAGGTAGCATATGATCAACAGCCAATGATACTGAAGGAGGAAATCCAAGGTGTATTGAAAGAATTGGCAAAGAACAAGG